TAACCTAACACATATATATAAATATATATATACATATAAATATATATATATATATATATATTAATTAAAACACATTTTACCCGCGCACGACGATGCGACAAAATAGGTATCCTCCCTAGGCAAAATTGACGTTCCGGACGCGTTGGCGCAGTCCGTTTCGTCATCCGGGGTCGCTCGGACGACGTTGTCGACAATCGGGTCAAAAACGCGTCGAAATTCAAATTTTACAAAATTTCGACCCGCGATCGATCGTCCCAAAAAGTTTAATTGAGCATTCGACAAGTACCAATGCAGGCAATGCGAATTGCGGCGATCGGACGTATCGACTCTCCGAATTGCGAAGTTTGTGCGTGCGAGAGTGCGAATTGTGCAAAAGGCCACCCTAAGGCTCAAAAGGTCCTATAGGGATCCCTTTTGGGTTCCTCATATTGATTTCATCCTTCTAAGTGCTAGAAGTTGATACCACACACGCGAAACTTCAGAAGGGGACGGAAGCGGGTCGAACTAAAACGAGGCGGGTCCCACTTCTAAGGTTTTAAGATAGTCGAAGGGAGATTCCTAAGGCTAGATCCTAAACCCTAAACGGAAGACTAGACCTCACGAAAATTGAGGTCAACAGTCTCTCAAGTTTTCAATTTTGCAGAACAAAGTATGGTGAAGAGAAAATGGAAAATGTTATTGCCAAATGCAAGAGGGAGTAAAAAATACTCATTTCTAAGCCCTTCAATGACCCCAATGAAGCATTAGTAGGTTCACTCGTACAAGGCATAAACAGGAAAAGGCTCCCGAAAAACAACACAACAGAAATAAGTTTTGGGGAGTATGGGATGTTGTGAAAATGTCATACAAGATAACGCCATAAAAATTAAGACACAATTGATCAGCATAATCATGGATTAATCTTCACTATCCTTATCCCAAATAATGGAATGGCTCTGTGAATCTTCATTGTTTACTTGTTCCTACAGAGTGTTGCATGAGATATTAAACTTATTCTACACAATCTTTAGCACAACTTCTATCCATGTTACCCTTATTAGAACATTTTTTACTTCTGCCTTTATCAAATTAACTTTATCTACTCATCAATTTTTTTTATCAGAACAAACAATTGGGAAAGCTTACTGTCATAAACAAATATAAAAAAAAATTATGGAAAAATAGTTAATTTAAAAAAGAAACCAATACAAAGAAAACAAAGTTAAACAGCCATAAAGAGATACTTGTATGGAAGGTTTAATGCTATACCTTTATCTAAGATTTAAAGTATTTTGTCATCATGATACCAGATTTAGTTAGAAAATTAGCGCAAACGAAAGAAACTTTTAGTAGTATTGAAATAGGGTTACAATACGGCACAAATGGAAAGGAAAATACAATAGCAAACCAATCTCTAGATAGGACCAATGAAAAGATCTGAGAGTGGGGATGGCGTCGGCGAATTGGTAAGGGAAAAAAGGAAGGGTTGAGGGCTATCACATATGTCGGAAGGGTGGTTGGTTTGGGGGTTTGGGAGAGTGGGGTGATAGGTAAGGCGGCAAGGAAGGGTGGTGAGGGGTGTTGGGTGATGGCGAGGTGTGTCGGGCAGCAAGGGAAGCTACTATGAGGAACCCGGTAGGATGCAAGGGGCAGCTGGGAGGGTTGGACGGTAAGGCCAGCAGCAAGTTGAAGAGTAATAGAGTGCTGGGAGGCGGAGTGGAAAGGTTGGACAGCAAGACAATGGCAAAAAAGTGCGCGAACTATCAGGATGGTTGATGACTAATGGACAGGAATGAGAAGGGCTAGGGAGTAGGATAGAGGAAGATACAACACCACATCAGAGTAGGATACAGCCGGAGCACCACCACCTCCTCGGATACAGCCCTAGAATAGGGAGAACAGCTCCACAAAGAAATATAAAAGCAATTTACACCAAAAATGAGCCTTACACACAGAAAACAACAATTTATAGACTCCCGCAAGACAAAAATATGAAAACAATAAAAAGAAAAACTCCCACACAAAAGAAATGCGTGAAAAAGGCAATAAAAATCCAAAAAACACTTCATGGGTGTGGTAGCCTAGCGATGCTCCTTCCTGGATCACGATTGTTTGCGATCCCGCCTCTGCTTCGCGCATCTTCCGGCCTTTGCAAGGTTTTCCCACTACTGCGCGATAGTTCGCAGCCCCCTTTGCTTCGCGTCTCTTCCAGCCTTCACGAGTTTTCTCCAATTGTCACGTGAGGGTTCACGTGTTGGCCCACCTCAGCGGTTCAACGCCCAGCTACAGGGCGTAGTTAGCACCCCACAATAGGGCGCTGTTAACACCCCGCATCACAGCATTACAAAATTCCATCCAAATATAATAATGAAATAACTAAAGAAAATTATATTAGTCTGAAAGTAATTTAAATAGCATATATTGTTCATTTCATTCAAAAATGTCCAAATTTGCCTAGAGCAATAGGATGCCTCATACATGTTTAGCATTGTCATTAAATAAATAATCTCTCAATGAAGAGAATATAAAGTTGAAAAGAACAAAATAACCTAAATCTTGGAAAAGAGAGACATTATGTCTCCAAATGCTAAATGAAAATGTCATTTGGAAGAATAAGTGAAAATCATCCCTAGGAATGAAATTGCACAATATGCGATCAATAGGGACCTCAGAGCCCATATGATAAAGTATTTGATAGAAATTTTCTCAGAATAACATTTAATCTAAAGAAAAAAAAAATTCAAAGGGACCAAGGCCTTCCAGATACAAGAATAAGGAGTGATAACAGCATCATGCATTAAGAAAGGATATAAGGAATTGACCGAGAAAATGTCTCTAAAAGAGAGCAACTGCTTTGGAGAAACCTTGTTTAAATTCAAACTACAAAGGATTTAGAATCTGAATGCATAAATTTCTAAATCCATTTAAAAAGGAAAGAGAAGCATTCTAAATTACCATGCCAACCACATTTTTTGAGGTTGCATATGTTCTTCTAGTTGATCAAGTGGCATCAACATTCATCATTTCCATTCCATAAGAAACTAGAAAGAGGATAAATTTTATTGAGGAAGGGAAAGAGAGTGAGAGAGAGATAGAGAAGTAAAAAGGGATAGAAGTTAGCAAAAAGTTGTCAAAACAATCCTCCCACCTTTGGAGAAGAATTTGTTTTTTGAAGAAGCAATTTTCTCCGAATGTTGCCAACAATAGGAGTCCAAAGGCACTTTTGCAAAGCTTTAGATTAGTGAACAACTTTCCAAAGTAACAACATGATTAATTGATTTCCACAAAGATGTTTTCAGCTTGAATTTGTACTTTCCCTTTCAGAGCGTGCTTTTAATTTTATAAATAGCCGTGTATCAGTTTGTTCAAGTTCAAGTACTTTTTGCCAAAAGTTTGCATACTTGGCTTTATTTTCACGTAAGTGGGCTTATTTAAATTAACTTTTAGTTAATTTGAGCACGCAAAGCCATACATCAGTATATAACATGAGAGAAAAAAACCACATAATTACATCAAATTTCCAGGAAGGCAATCTATATATCAAGCGTTCACTATCTTGAAGCAAAATTCTTCAAAATTCCATATTGAACATTTCTCCCTCATCCTACTGTTTTAATTTACATGCAAAGGCACACTATGTTCAACACAGATGGAACATGGATATAAAATTAAAGTACTCCAAATTCATTGTACCATATCTAGAGATTAATGCCGCCAAGACATTTCTAGCTACTAGAAAGTTCAATCCCAAACAATAAAAGCAAGAAGGGATAGAAGTTAGCATAGAGCTGTCAAAACAATCCTCCCACCTTTGGAAAAGAATTTGTTTTTCGAAGAAGCAATTTTCTCAGAATTTTGTAGAAAATAGGAGTCCAAAGGACATTTTGCAAAGCTTTAGATAAATGCACAGCTTTCCAAAGTAACAACAAGATCAATTGATTTGCCACAAAGATTTTTTCAACCTGAATTTGTACTTTCCCTTCCGGACTGTGCTTTTGATTTTATAAATAGTCATGTATCAATTTGTTCAAGTTTAAGTACTTTTTGCCAAAAGGTTGCATGATTGGCTTTATCTTAGCGTAAGTGGGCTTATTTAAATTAACTTATAGTTAATTTGAGCACGCAAAGCCTTGCATCGGTATTTAACAGGAGAGAGAAAATCACATAATTACATCAAATTTGTAGAGAATAGAATAATGCAGCCAAGACCTTTCTAGCTACTAGAAAGTTCAATCGCAGACAACAAAACTTCACGTTTTTTTTTTAATTTCCCATTGCAAAAAAAAATAATACTGAATAAAAAGAGTTAAAGATGCACTGTGAATAAATGAAGTTTCTCTTCTTATGGTGTCAATGCATGTGAATCTCTATTCTGAACTTGCAAAATAACGCTAAGAGTTTATAATTCTCATTGCTGACATAATATCTACCATTTAGCACGCACACCTTGAGATGACTCTTTTCGTTTCAAGGGAGCTAAACAGGACACCTTCAAATCTGTATGCATGAACGAATAACCAAAAAGAAAGTAGGCGTTAATGTATACCAAAAAATATTGAAAAATGGAAAGAACTAGAGAAAAAATTTAAAAACAACGTAAACATTTAAAAAAAAGGGGTGAAAAAAGGCACACCAAGAAGTACCTTGTCCAGTCAATCAAGATTGAATGATTATAGCCCAAAACAGTCACATAACAGTCAATATTTTCCCATAATGTGTGAACCTCTCCATCCTCTAATGCAAAGACCTGTTCTAGACCAAAGCCAAGGCGGTCAAAAATGCTTTATAATACCATGCAGGAAGAGTGAGGTTTATACAGAAAAACATACTTAAAAGCATATTATAAAAGTGCGATGAGTCAAAATAGTCCCCTAACTATTTACATAAGGCCATTTTAGTCCCACAATCTATGACAGTGTCAACTGTCAAATTAGTTCTCAACTCTTTAAATTGGGGCTGAAAATAATCCTCCGTGGGCACTATTTCAACCCATATTAAAAGAGTTTTGGGGACTAAATTGGCACTTTATAGACTCTAGGAATAAAATGACTTCGCGCAAAAAATCAAGAGACAATTTTGACATCTCCATTCTCTCGCAAAAAATCAAGAGACAATTTTGACATCTCCATCGCTGCTTCAATAATAATGATAATTTCAAAAGGCTGCAAATTATACAACTAGCATTAACACATTATAAACCATGAATGGAAAATTTTTCGTAAGATAAAATAAATTTTAAGAGCATCAAATAGTCACAGATGTGAACAATAAATCCATATGGCCACTTCAATGGAGTTGAATATTGCATTAATGTCTCTAAGAATACAACTAAATTGGAATGCTAGGACAAACCTCTTTTGACACGACAAAAAAAATGAAAATATATAGAAAGAACGTAGCCCAGCTCCTTAAGACTTCCCCCCATAGTAAGCAGCAGAAGAGACTGAGAATCCTTGCCCATACTTCCAACAACCTAAGATGTTCAGAAGTCAGTACAATTACAATAAAAAATCATAAAAAACATAGGAATATGAGCAATATTAATAAGGCACATTTACATACATGCCACACAATTCTAATGTATTTACATATCAAACACCTAAACATTCATATTTACATGCTTACCACTTAAATCTTTAACATCACATTTAGAATACAACCATCACTAGTTTTTAAAAGAGAAATACACTTTTTCATGCAGAGATTTATGATAACAAGGTGTTATAAGTGTAAACGTCAAACTTTTGGTGTCATATATGTAAATACTTAAAAGAATTGTGTGGCATTTAACAAAATTTCCCTAAAAATAATTTCGTTCAACAGCTAAAAAAACACATGCATACACCCTTGCATAAACACGTACATCAAAAAAATAAAAAAATATGTAAATGCAAGCTCATCTATGCACAAATATGTGTGCATCCCAACATACAGGCAAGCATGCATCCACTCATGCATGCATTATTGTAGCCTACCAACCCACAGTGCATCCATCCATACATCAATAAAACATATAAGAGGAACAGTTAAGATAGAAAAGGATTAAAGCTGAAAATTATTTCAGCATAAGTGAAAAGCTGAAGCTCTCAACATCAGTGAAGGTTACAAGTCAAAATTATATAGCCTACCGAAATTAGGGAAGAGCATTCCAGAGCAGTACAGCTGCAGACGAACAAACATGTAGAGCAAACATGAGTCTGTTAAGTAATATGAGGAACTGAGTTGATGGGAGGCATTTGGTGAAGTTGTCGGCAAGTTGATCATGCAAGGTAACATGGTGCCGAGTAATTTTCTTGAATTTGATGTGATCGCGAAGGAAATGATGATCGATTTTGTAGTGCTTGGTTCTAGAATGGAAGATGTGTTTCGTGCAAGGGTGACTGCTGAAGTGTTGTCGCAATATATAATAGTTAGGGAGGAAGATGGGATGTCAAACTAGTGAGTGAGGCATCGAAACCAGATGGCATCGGTGGTGGCGGCGTGGGCAAGCTACTCTGTCTTCGTAGAAAATCAAGCGGCCTTTTTTTTTTCTCTATAGTCCAAGTAATGAGATTTTTGCCCAAAAAAAGAATTGTGCCTAGTTGTGGAGTGTTTGTCGTGTTGATCACTGGTCCAATCGGAATCAAAATAAGATTGAAGTTGTGGGTTTCCTGGAAAGAGGTGAATGCCATAGTTCGACATCCCCTTTCGGTAGCAAAGAATTCGTTTAAGGATTTGGAAGTGATACAATAGAGGGCTATGCATTAGTTGGCATATTTAGTTTACCGCAAAGGCAATGCCAGGCCTATTGATTGTGAGAAACTAAAGTGTGTCGGCTAATTGCCAGTAAAGGATGGGTTCAGATATGGTTTTTGTGAGGAGGGATTGGTTTTAAGTTTGGTGGGTAGGAGAGCAAGGATTGGTTTGCAATTTGTGAAGCCGGTTTGGTGTATTATAGAGTCTATGTAAGCATTATGGGTGAGAAGGTAGCCATCAGCAGAGGGAGCAATTTGAATGTCGAGGAATGTAGAAACAGGGCTGAGTTTTTTCAGCTGAAATTGGGATTTGTGGTCCTTTAATGTGTGAGATATGGTTGTAGAGTTGTTTCCTGTTAATAGGATGTCGTCGACAAATACCAGAAGGTAGAAGCGAGTTTGATTTCGACTGCAGATGAGAAGAGATGGGTCATTGTGCTGAGTGTGAACCCTTTACTAATGAGATGAGAGGTGAACATGGAATATTATTGTCTTGGGGCATGTTTGAGGCCATATAAAGCTTTCTTTAGTATGCATACATGGTGAGGATGTTGAGCTTCATGGAACTTTTGGGATTAAGTAATGTAGATAGTGTCTTCAGATGAGTCGTGTAGAAAGGCATGAGATATGTTTAGTTGGAAAACCTGCCACTTGTGGGAAAGAGCAACGATAAGAAGTATGTGAAATGTAGGTAATTTGGCAACTGAATTGAACATTTTCAGATAATCAACTTTTTTTTTCTTGTTTAAAGCCTTGAGCAATCAATCTTGCCTTGTATCTTGTAATAGTCTCGCCTGAAAGTCGATTAATTTTGTACGTCCAGCGACATCCAATGATGTTTTGTTGAGGTAGAGGTGGGAGAAGAGCCAAAGTGCTTTGTTGTTAATGAGCCTGAAATTCAAAAGACATGGCTTGGCACCAATATTGATGTCGGAAGGCTTGGGAGTAGCAGGTCGGTTCGGATGAGAGGGAGGTGTAAATACTAAACTCAAAAATTGGTTTGGGTTTTGAGTGACCTGTTTTAGATCTAGCAAGCATTGGGTGTTAAGGTGGGAGGTGTGAAGGTTGGTTGTTGTTGGAGTTGTGTAAGGGGGAATGGAAGATAGCTAGTGAAGATAGTGGGAAAATGAAGTTGATGGAATGACTGGGAGAGGTTGTGGGATGGAGGTGTTAGTTGTTATTGCAGTGGGTATTAGAAGGGGTGGTGGTAAGTTTGTTGGTGGGGTTGATGTAGGGGGAGGGCTGGAGGAATATGGGAATGAGTGCTCATTGAAGATGACAAGCCAGGAATGGAATGCTTTGTTGGATGAATGGTTGGTAACATTTGTATCCCTTGTGGAGAGACGAGTATCAAGTGAATGTACATGGCGGGAAGCTTGGATGTAGTTCGTATGGTTTAAGGAGTTTTTATCATGAAAACATATGCATCCAAACACTTTGAGGTGATTGTAAGAGGGTGGGTGTGGTAAAGAAGTTCATGAGGTGTTTTCATTTGAGCTTTCATGGCATCCTGTTGATTAGGTAAGATACGGTGAGTAGGGCATTGAACCGTGAGAAAGGTCGTAGGTGAGTTGTTAGTAGGAGTGTTCTTGTTGTTTCAATGTGGTGTTGATGTTTTCTTTTAGCAATTTGTTGAGATGTATAGGGACAACTTAGTTGATGTATGTCATGGGTGGAGAGGTATTGCAGTAAGATTTGGGATTTACATTCACCACCGACATCAGATCTTAGAATTTTAATATTTGTGTGAAATTGAGTTTGATCATTTTATAGAATTGTATAAACTTAGAGAAAGCTTCAAATTTGGCTAAACCGTGGAAATATCCAACAGTAACGTTAGAAGTCATCAACGAACACTAAGTAATATTTATAACCTTGGAGTGAAGATATAGGGGGCAGGTCCTCAAATATCAGAATGAACAATATTAAAAGGTGGGGTAACACTTAGAAACTGACTTATGAAATGGTTGTTTGTGATTCTTAGCTGAAGTACATTCAATGTAGAAACTTAAAGTAGTAGTACTGCGGAGAGGCTGAGATAAATTGGAGATAGTTGTGGTAGCTTCTTCGTGAGGATGTCCTAGTTGTTGATGCCAAAATGAAGATGATGATGATGTGGAGGTTTGAAAGGCAGTGAGAGTTGGAACATGGTAAAGATTCCTGCT